CGTACGTAGTACGTACGTAGTACGTAGTAGTAGTAGTAGTAGTAGTAGTAGTAGTAGTAGTAGTGTAGTAGTGTAGAGTATAGTAGAGAGAGANAGGAGAGAGAGAGAGAGAGGATGTTCAAGAGAGTTCGTTGTTTTAATACTTGTTCTTCTCTCTCTTATGACCACCATTACTTACAATTTAACAAATAATATCTTTTTCAATTTCTAAACAATACGAATTTTTTGTGCTATCGGCACACTATTGGTATGGTTGTTACCTTATTTCTAAAAGAAAGATGGTTAGAAAAACCCGAAATCTCTCACCCAAGGTCACGATTCCGATTCTGAATAGCGTTTCTGCAATTCCGACAAGTAATCTTCACTTAATCCATTTTCGTGAAAGTCATGAATTTCGATTCCCTATTTTAGGAATCTCGATTGCAACACTTACAGAATCTCGTTTCTAATATTTATTGATTATCGATTATGCAATTGTTGAATCTTGATTCTACACTTGTTGAATTTGGATTCCACAAGTAATGATACTCGATTATATTGTTTTTAAATCCAGATTCTTGAAAATCAAGTACCGAGGTTCGTAGATGCAAGAGACAATGAATTAATTGAACATCGAGTCTTGCTTCCACCCTCATAGAATCTTGATCTAATTTTTTTTGAAATCATAATAGGACAAAATCAAATACTAATTTCTAGGTGCACGAATTTGTGACTTTGGGTTGGTTCAAATATTTATGAATTTCGATTCGAGTTATTTGGAAACCAGACCAGAGATAATTGTCGCCGGTAGTTCATATGTGCTTTGAATAATAGATATTTAGGTTCGATTCATATTACATTTCTAATATTTCTGGGACTAGCTTCGATCACGTTTCTAATAGTGCTAGGGTTGACTGCCTTCTCTTAAAATATAGGTAAAGAGTTTTACGTTCAAATAGAGCTACAACACAGACAACACCATGACACAAACAAAATCCTATTTTGAAATATAATAATGAAAGCAAAATCACATATTGAAATTACATGAGATAATATTTGTATCTTTTATAG